GCCAGGTGATGCTAGACTTAGGTGTTAAGGATATTTATGTAATTGCAAATATAATTTCAAAATCTTAATAAAGTACTAGCATGACTGTTTAAGAAAAAAAAAAAAAAAAAAAAAAAAAAAAAAAAACTCTTACACTCATTATAATTGATATTTTAAAAATTTTTTTTTTACTTTTTTCCATGAAATTTTTATCAAAAAATGAACAATCTAGTTTACTTTCATCAAAATTGCATTGTTAATCCTTTCAATCAGGATTGTTTATCAGTTCTATTTGGTAAAAGCCCATGTTATAAATAAAGTACAAATATATGTATTTTAGAAAAAATGTAACAATGAGACAAGATTAGAGATTTTTGACAAAAATAAAATAATTGGTCAAAAATGTGACAAATGTCAAAATATAAGATCTGGTAAAAAGTATGATGAGTCATATATGAAAATAGATATAGTAACAAGAAGTCAAAATGTTTGGTATATTAAAAATTCTCTGTCAGTTTAGTTTTAGTTAAATTGTTTTTCTTAGAATATAAGTTTTAGTATTAAATATATTAATTAGATAGAATTAAAGTAGAAATTATTGTATTTAGTAACATATACTTTTTAATAAGCCAATATAGCTTTTATAATTAGTAACTATTTGTTTGACCTTTATTAGCAATCCTCTTTTTTTTATTTCTTAATATTTGTTTTTTTATATTTCTTTCTTATATATATTTTTTTAGTGTATTTCTTCTTAACAAAAAATTTTTTTTTGATTTTTATCTCTCTATGAATGAATAGTATCAGATTGATGCTATTCAATTGTAGAGTAGCAAACAGACAAGCTTGATTCAGACTTTAGTAGATCTAGTGTGACAAGTTGCTGATAAGTGCTAATTGGGATAACCATGTGATGATGGCATGTGAAGTTAGATATAATTCTATTTGTATATTGTTTGTACTAAACATTTATAAATAAACTTCTGACTGGTTGACCATCATGACTACCAAAAGTAAAAAAAAAAAAAATACCAAAAATATATATATAACTAGTTATATTCTTTAATATAAAAATAATATTATTAAAACTTTGATTCTATAATATTAAATAAAAAACTTCAATTCTAAAAAAGACTAATTTAATGAAAAAAATAAAAATAGTAACTATTATTAATATTAACCTTAGTGAAAACAAAAAAAAATATATATATAAATGTTTAAGTAAAATCTTTTTTTACTATAGTTAGGTATTTTACATGATTAAAATAATCTGCAATATATTAAAAGCATTTTTATTATTTAAAAATAACAACCAGTTTTAAAAAAACATTTGCAAAGAATATCTCAAAAATCTACTAGCTGACACATGTCAAAGATACTAAGTAAAAATATTTAAGATCCCAAAAAACCTAACTATAATGAAAATTTGAACCTTTATATCTAACTCTAACCTTGGTCTAAAATTGCATCCTATTTCTAAATTTGATAAAAGAAATAAGAGGTGGTGGTATTGCCACCGGCAATAAATGCTAAAATTGATTGCTTTTGCAAAAGTTATTTTATAAATATGTGGTCTAGGAATTTAAAAGGCGGTTGTGTGAAATAATGACAGCCAATGATTGGCGCAAATTTTGTAGCATAGAATTAAAAAAGAATTTTCCAATTGAAGATCTTTCATGATCTGCATTACACGAATTTGAAAATACTACGTAGCTGTTAATCATTCATTTTAGCCAATCAGAACACTTAACTATTAGCCAATAAAATCAAACTTGACTCACGTTTAGATTATTCACACACGACTAGTATGGTTGTATTTAGTAATACTAATTACTGGTGTGGAGAAAATGGCGAATGCGAATTATTTGAACATGATTCTAATCGCCCTGCTGTGCGTTCTGGCACATACGGGTCTAAGTCACAATGTAAAAGGTGGCGAGGATCTTGAAAAAGAGATATTAAGAAGCAGTGATGGAGGTACGCATTTTAACCCTTCCAAAATTCAAAGTATTTATTTTTAAATAATTTAATATTTTTTTAGGTGAAATAATCATGGAAACGGTGCTTTTTTTATTATGACAATAAAAATAATTGTTAATTAAAATTCTATTAAACTAATAAATTTTATTTTATTTTCAAATTATAGAAAACGTTTGACACTCCTATAACGGACTTCTTTTACATTAATGGCACTACAAAAATTCTTATTCGTACGAATGATCAAATTTGGAAAAGTGATGACGAAGGTCGTTCATGGAAGCTTATCGAACAACTTAAAGGCGTTAAAGTTCTTGCTATGATCAAAAATCATTACTTTGCAGATAATGTAGATGTTTTGAGCTTTTTTAATAATTTAGTGATATAATCTATTAATTCAAATTCTACTTGTTTATAGATATACTTTATTACACTGTCTGAGCAACAATATTATACTACTGATGCTGGCGAGAATATAGAGAGTATGACGGTTCCTAATCGACCTAATACTCTTGGGTTACCAATTTTAGACTTTCATCCTAAGAAGGAGGGATGGCTTATATATACTTCCAACGAAAGATGTAATGAAACATCTTCATCTGAGTGTGCTGCGGTATGTATTCAAACTACATAGTATATTACTGTATATTGTTCTCTTTAATCAAAAATCTTTTCTAAGAATGCATTTGTAAATATATATTTAAGGCACATTATACAACGAATAATGGGTTAAAGTGGAATCCACTTGATAATTATGTTAAAATTTGCTCGTGGGCACTCGATACCAAATTTGTTGTTAATGATGAACAACTTATCTTTTGTGAATCATATAAATATAAAAAAGGATCACAAAAAACGCCTATCAACAATCCACTTCAATTATGGTCATTTAGTATCCTTGATACAAATATAACTAAAACTAAACTGTTTGACAATATTGCTGGATTCGCTACTTTTGAACAATATATGATAGTCGCCGAGGCGCGTATCTCTTCATTAAATTTAATAAATGTCGCGGATGATCGTGAAATTAGATGATGGTGAAAGTTAGATTTATTAGAGAAGGGTATAGGTGAATTTTGGTAGGGCTTATATTTTCAAATTGAGACCCCCGAATTTCATCATAATCCGATTTCATGCTCATCTGTGACAATAAATTTAAGACATATACCCATTAGAGCAATTTTTTACACCTTATTTACCTTTTTTTTTTTTTTTTTAAAAAAAAAAAAAAAAAAATTATCAATTTTCCGATTCATTAATTTGTAGATCTCGCAATCTGCTCAAGGTCTTCGTTTATCGGTGTCCTTGGATGGCACGAATTTTACTGAAGCAAAGTTCCCAGTTAATATGCAAGTAGCAAAAAATGTAAGTTTTGAGCATTGACCATATTATTATTGTTACTATTTATTCATATTTTCTGTATATTTTAGACCTTCACAGTTTTAAAGTCCGTCACCTCTTCTATTATACTACATGTTACCACATCATCTCAAAACCTATGGGGGACTATTTTAAAATCAAATTCTAACGGAACCGATTTTGTTCAATCTTTGGAGTTTGCGAACTGTAATGATTTAGGCTTTGCTGATTTTGAAAAGATGAAAGGAATTAATGGAATTGCTTTAGCAAATGTAGTCAGTAATGTAGATGAGTTAAATATGGGTGGTACTAAGAAAAAAAAAATGAAATCTAGAATTACGTTTAATGATGGTAAATAGCAAAGTGAATTCTCTGTAATTATAATTTCGTATACCAGCTAAAATCTTTTTTTGTATTATATAGGTAGTATTTGGGAACCATTAACAAAACCTGTTAATGACTTGAATGGTAATTCATATAATTGTAGTGTAATGTATATACTGTTTTTTATACTTTCAATATTTACAATTAGGGTTGGCAAACGGAGCATTTTTGCACAGAATGGAGCAATTCTTTTTTTACTTTACACATCAAAAATAAATACCATTAAGTTTAAAATGCGAATGGAACAACGGACTGGAGCAGACCAATAGAACACCAAAATGTCAACCCTGATTATTATGATTTGTTATTAAATATTCATATCTATTCTTATGTTTAGAATTGTTCTTTACATCTTCATGGCTATACTGAACGCAAAATTCCTAGAGATGCTTTTAGCTCTCTATCTGCTGTGGGTTTGATGATGGGCGTAGGAAATGTTGGAGACTATCTAACTTTCTACTCGGACGGGGATACTTTCTTAACTCAAGATGCCGGTAAAACATGGATTGAAGTAAGAAAAGGAGCTCACTTATTTGAATTTTGTGACCAAGGGGCCATTTTGATTATGGTAGACGACGAAGGACCTACATATAATTTCTTGTAAGTTGTATATTCAGTAATTTTAATATGTATTTTAACCTGTATATCTTTGTAAAATCTCAAATAACATTTGATCATTAGGTATTCGCTTGATACGGGTAAATCGTGGCAACAATATAATTTCACAGAACCGACGAAGCGTGTTCGAGTTCATGCCATTTCAACTTACCCCGGCGGTATCAGTAATAAATTCCTTTTACATGGGAGTTATGAACGCGATTCGAATAAAGAAGTTATCATTTATCTCGATCTTTCTGCCAAGCTGCCCAAAACATGTTTGCACTTACATTTTGTCATGTTGTGCAGTGTATAAAATCAATGTTCACAATTTGCTCAGTGCACATATTTTTTGTAAAGTTACATATAAAATTTTAACTTATGCACATATTTTGTAATTTAGATTTTATACACTGATGTTGTGTCATAATTATTGTGCTGTATTTAAAATACTAAAAATTTTTTTTTAAATATGTGTTAGGCACTGCATCCGATTTTGAAGACTGGTTGCCACCTCGTTCAGGAGATTCTGGATGTTTCTTTGGCGAAAATGTACGGTAAAAAATATAAAAAAAAAATTCAATCACAAATATATTTATAATATTCTTTAATTTCAAGATTAAATATCGTCGTAAAATTTCCAGTCATACGTGCTATATTGATGATGAAATCATACATCCTATTGTAACTTCAAATTGTTCTTGCACTATTCAAGATTATGAATGGTAAGTAAACTTGCAAGGTGTATCCGTTGAGAAAATCTCTACTCGAGTATTATTAGATTATCATTCTGATAAACTATATTTAGGCAGCATTATAACAGGAATTTCTATTCGTGTACAATAGCTATTAACCATTTAATTAAATTGAGTTTATTTATTTCAGTGACTACAATTATATCCGTAATGATAAAGGATCGTGTGTATTAGCGCCCAATGTCGAATCTTTAGAGTCCAGCATGGAGGAACAATGTGCCAATGGGGGAACATATTGGTACAAGCCATCTGGGTAGGTTTAATTTTGATTTTCAATTTATTTTAAAGGTTTATTGTTACGTGCAATTGATACCAAGTCCTTATATTTTTCAATAGCTACCGCAAGATTCCTATCTCTAAATGTTCGGGTAGTGAAGATCTTTCAAGAAGTAAAGAATCTTGCCCTAACGCATTGTCTGCACTGTTTGTGGTTTTATTTGTCTTGTCATTTTGTATCATTGTAGGAATGTTTGTAGCATATGTTGTGTACAACAGACGCAGTCGTTATTCTGGATATTCAACAACAGGGTTAGTACTTCATCTTATAAATTTAGGTTAATAACAATTTCTAATAACTCTGTCTTAAAATTATTAGGCGTATTCGTTTTAGAGACCCTTTAAGCACTATATTGTTATTGCTTTCAAGCATATCATCAATTGTTATGGATCTCATTTCATCGATTTCATCGATTAGAGTACCAACATTTATTTCACGATTCTTTTCAGGGATTTCAACACCATCTTCACGTTCTAGATATCAATATAGTCCTTTGTCACAAGATGATAATCATCTCGAAGTCACGTTAGATGATTACATTGATGGCGAATAATTAATTTGTTAATTTCTTAAAATTCAAAATTTTATTGTTTTTTATTTGGATTTTTTCATATGAATGTAATTATATTCTAAATGAGTATTTTCGTTGGATTTGCAAATGATATGAGTGGTGTGGTTTGGTTTGGTTTATTATCGTTATAGTTTGGAGTACTCCATTTAACGTACATTCACATACCATAAATACTTGACAATTAGTAATTATGTCCAAAAAACATCAGATAAGTGTCAAACAAATTAATAAATTGACAAACAGGTTTATTATGTTCTTAAACAAATATTTCATATTTTAAATTCGCATCTTATAACTCAGCTCCGACTATTCATGACAATTTGCGTAGCGTTTCGTATATTTTGAATTGAAAACTCCGAATTACTGGATCAATCACACGACACACCTATTAAGCAAAACCAAAGTTAATGAAATTAATAGAATTATATCAAGACAAAACCCATCGATAAAATTTGTTTTAAAATCGACTTTTAAATATCTAAAATATCGATAGTTAATTGTGATCAAATAATATAACACATGTTAACGTACGTATACGTCATACGCTATTATAAATTTATCATAAATTTATAGTAAAGTTCGCAGCAGAAAAAAAGGAAATTTCTACTTTGGACACTACATGTAGGTACACGGATATATACAGTAGAAAAGTCAATCAACCACCTTTCGGGTAACAAAAAAAATTCCTCATGAATTTTCATCCTCTAACCCCAAACATACTTTACCCTAAGCTTAATCGAGGTTGAATTTTTTTTGTTATTACGAGGATTTGCAAAATTAATAATCGTGTACAATACCGATACACTACGTTTCAAATTGGAAATTCTCATACAAATAATATCCATAAAAATATATATTTAGACCCCCGAAATCAAGGATCTGATATTAATGAAGGCTTAGGAATAAGCACTTTGAGTTTATACAGACCACCATATTTAGTATATAATGGTATTCTAGGTGCAGTTCAATGGCGCGGTTACTTTTTGTGCTGCCGCATAAGAGACAATTAAATATGATGGGAAAAGGCTTATCATACGTATAACAATAATGTTTTCCCGACAAGAGTTTACCGAACCGATTCCTGTGCTATGAAATCTCTTAAAAAGGGAATTCTTATCGTTATGTAGGGAAATCTTGTATATTTAAAAAAAAAATGCAATACACTATAAATTACCAAAGTGACACACAACCGGGGAAGCACTCCGATTTATTACACAAATATTCTAACGGGCAACCAATAGTCTGTCTTTTTGGCGCCGGAATATAATAACTATGATTAGTAAAATAGTAGAAGTAGATGTAAATCGCCCCTCTCCAAATCGAAAAAATTTTTTTTTTGTCTTTGCAAGCATAGCTTTTCGTGTCGTTCATATTAAATATTAATTGCAAATTTTGTTCTTTTTTTACATATTATCATTAAGTAAACTGCATTATTTCGTGTTTTTGGTTAAATATTTTATTATTTTATTTATTTTTAATAATTTGAAATTTTTTTTTTCTTCTTTACCAAGATGGCTTCCATCTAAGTTAGTCTTCAAACTTACCTCAAAGCTTTTTCGCTTTGAATATTTTTTCAGTTACCGTTATTTAACCTTTTTTTAGGCAGCCGCCACAAAAATGGCCACTATAATACACCATTCCAATCTTCAAAATGTGTTCCAACAACGCGATATTCAAACTCGCATAATACCTTTTCGTTAAAACCAAATAAACCGTTTTTTTTTATTCCTCCAAGTATAATAGCATCTAAGTTACTTTTTCTTTTTCTTTTTTAAAGGAGGATAAGTTAATTTTCGTTTACATAAAAACACAAATTACGGTTTTCTTATTCAAATTGATAGATATTAATCTTAAAATTTAAGAAAATATGGTAGCAACACCAAAAATTACAAACAAAAAAGTTACATCCAACATAGAACAAATCAAGTTATCCTTCGGTAACGACTCTAATAAAGCTAGTATGATCTCTGGTACTTTTCCGGGCATGGGTCAATACATGGACGTTATTACACAGGAGCCGTCCCCCTTGAAATCTGGTGGCATGAATGATGCCACCTTATTTGATGTTGATGAATGGCTTGCAACTGATATTGAACAAATTATATCTGAAGGAGAAGATGGATTATTATTCCCTTCTGAAGCTTCTACCACGAGTTACGATGTATCTCCTGACCTACCTTCTTCAATTACCACCCCTTCTTTACCATTCGATAACAATGTTATGTCTCGTGAATTTGATTCTCCTTTATTTGGTCAGCCGACTCCTTTCTCAACAAGTCCAATTCTCGAACCAGCTATAGGATTTTTCCCTGATCTTTCTAATGGAAACACTACAAAATTATTTTCTATCGTTCCTTCGGTTACCATCCCTGCTGACAATCATCATTCACTTTCAATACCCATTCGTCAACCGGGTTTAACATCTGCCCTGAACATTCCTTGGGTGTCTGATGTCACTAATGCTTCAAATATTGTTTCTGATGGAACTTCGTCATTCGTCAACAGTCATATTAATACTCAGAAGTCTCCTTTAAGTTCTACAAAGTCTTCTCCTGTTGTAATTGTGCCTTCTAAATCTTCTCCAACCAAATCTACAAATGGCCGAAGTCGTAAACGTTCTGAAAGTGAGATTGATAAAGACCCCGAAATTATCTCTGAAGAGTTGGCCATTAAGCGTGCTAAAAATACTGACGCTGCTAGAAGAAGTCGTCTTCGCAAAGTTATGAAAATGGAATCTCTAGAAAAACAAGTTAATGAACTTAAAACTGAAAATAGTGACCTTCAAACTCGAATTGCTGTTTTAGAAAGTGAGAAAAAGGGTTTAGAAGAAAAGAACATCGATAAAGATAACAGAATTAGATTATTGGAGCAACAATTAGCTGAGGCACATGAAAGATTAATTAAAAGGTAGTCTTAGAATTTTCAAGTCGTTTACCCCTGGATCATTATATTATAATTACATTTATATGTTATTTTTTATTTTTTTTTATCCTTCTTTTTTTTTTTTTTACTTCATTAAAAGTTTTTGTTTATACCTTTTTTTTTTTTTTATCATTGCGCAAATTGCGCGTTATGTTATTCTATGTTGGATTTATATTCATTTTATGATACATATATGTTATCAAATTTGTTATATATTTTACCTGAATGCAAACTTTTTAAAATATAAATATCATCCATCGTAAATAAATAAAGCAATAAAACTATACATATATTAATATAAAATTGTTCAAACCAAAACATGCAATTTTTTAATTTAATTCTAAAGGCTGGGAGTGGTTATTAAGTTACACTGTGGATATTATATCATGTGCGTACTATTGATTGGTCTAAATTAAACTCAACCTTCAAACTTAAATACCCATATTTTGTATAAAAAAACAAATCGTTTTAAACAAAAAATGGAGAGTAATGAGTCTATTCTTTTACAACCGATTCGACATTTAACTTCAGTGAAAGATAGTGAAAATCCAAAATCACAATTTACAAGTGTTGAATGCTTGTCGAAGTCTTCGCGCCCACTACTTCCAAGCAGTTCAACTCTTATAATAAATCTACCTGATAACTCTACAACAGGAATAGATCGTTCACCAAATACTATGCAAACCTTTTTACCAGAGATAAACTCGAAAAGCCAATCACCTATTTTTACCTGGAATAATGCTTTTCGCAATATATCATTTATAATCTCTTGGTATTTCTTTTCTACGGCTTTATCATTTTACAATAAGGCACTAGTTGGAAAAGATAAATTTGATTTAGATCTACCCTTATTTGTGAGCGCTATGCACACTGGATCACATTTCTTAATAACACTTGTATTAATGAGTGGAAGCCTTCCATCTATATATAAGAGACCAGAAGGAAAATCTGTCTCAATAAATAGATATTTTACAAAAGTAGTAAGTTAAAACCTCGTTCAATATAATTATTTATTTAATTTTTTTTTGATCTTAAAAAAATATATTTTTTTTTTAGGTTCCTTGCGCTCTTGCTGCAGCATTCGAAATATGTATGGCTAACGCATCACTTATGTATATTACTTTGAGTTTTTATACCATGGTACGTAATTATAATTTGTATGATTTTTTTTATATATTTATGATTTAAAATTATCTTTATATAAAGGTGAAATCTTCGACACCCATATGGGTACTCATATTTGCTTTCATGTTTGGATTAGAGAATCCCCGTATTATTTTAGTTTTTATAATATCTGTCATAAGTATTGGAGTGATTATGACAGTATTTGGAGAAACTGCATTTAATCTTACAGGTTTTTTGTTAGTATTAGGTGCCGCAATTTCTAGTGGTTTACGTTGGTCTTTAACTCAAATGCTCCTTCAACAAGAAGAAAGTATGAATAATCCAATTGCTACTCTTTATTATATATCACCAGTAATGTTTATTATGATGACGATACTTTCCTTAATTTTTGAAAGACCATATAATGAATTTGGTCATTCAAAACATTTTAAGGATTTTGAAACTTTCCTTAAAACATTGGGTTTGATGTTAATTGGTGGGATTTTGGCTTTTTGTATGACAATGTCTGAATTCGCTTTAATTAAAAACACTAGTACAGTAACATTATCAGTTGCTGGAATAAGCAAAGAAGTTGTTGTAATCATGTTATCTGTTCTCATATATCAAGATATATTGACCCCTCTGAATATATTAGGGTATGCTTATTATGCTTATGTTGTAAAATTTTTTTTTTTTTTACTCAATTGTGACTAATTGCATCACTTTTTTTTTGGTAGGCTTGTGGTTTCTATTGCTGGTATTGCAGGCTATAACTATTATAAAATAAGCAAGAGTAGTCAAGATGTCAAGGGTCATTATCAAGCAGTACCATCACATAAGAATGAGTCAACAATAGATTAATTAAATAACGCATATCATTCATAAAATGATAGAGAATCTAATATTTACAAAATTCGTAACCTCCTTGGTTCACGATTGTACTTATTTTGAAGCTTTTGTTCAATACATAGATAAAGAGGGCACGTTAGCGAAGAGATTATATATAATACTACCCGTTGGATAAAAAAAAAAAAAAAGGACAAAAAAATCAAACTTTTTTTTAATTCTGTTTTTTTTTTAGATCAAAAAAATTTTGTTAATAAAAAAAAAAAATATATAAAATTAAGTAAATTTACAAAGCGAAATTAATTTTGTTAAATAAATCAATTGTTTTTTTAAAAAAAATCAGCTAATCAATTTATAAGGCTATGGAATCTTAATATACTAGTATCAGCGTATTCAACCCAAAACTTTTTTAGCTAAGCTACTTGGTCGTAACGTTTGATCAGTGATCATCAAGGCAAACTGCACTTATTAATAAAGGCTATAATCACCAATTAATATCACTGTAGGAAAATCTCTTTTTACTATGGATGTAAAATTAGTCCCGAACTTGATGTTTATGATTTGATTCAAGCCGATTATTTCCAAATAATAACATTAACTGTCAATTGACTATCAAATTTAATAGGTTTGAGTCAATTAATGGGAATAAAATAGCAACTGAATCTACATGATTTTAAAAAAAAAATTTATACACGCTTAAAGTATTTTTCGAAGAACTTACGTAACCCATATTAATTATGAGACGTATTTGTAAACTTGAAACTTTATTTTATTGAATTGAATATAAGGGAGTTTGTTAGTCCCATATAAATGGATTAGAAAAAAATAAAAGCATACATAATATAACAGGTTAAAAAAAATGAGTGCGGGTCAAAATCCCGACAAGTCATAATCCCGATAGTCGAAGATCCCGACAATTAAAAATCCCGGCAGCCACAATTTTTAGGTAGAAAATCCCAAGTATGAGATATGTTTAAAGCGAAATAGACTCTTATGGTTTAATTAATTTTAGGGTTAGATCACTTTAGATAATGGGTTTGCTATGGTCTATTATATTTTTTATCAGAGTTCTTAATTGTCGGAATTTTTAACTGTCGGGATTTTTGACTGTCGGGATTTTTAGCTGTCGGGATTTTTTTGTCGGGATTTTGACTAGAGATGGGCAAATTTATTATGTATTTTTATTTAATGTTTGTAAATTTCATTTTTATATGTTTTTGTATTTTTGATAGCTTTATTACTTAATGTTATCTAATTTTTTGAACATTAAGTATTAATAAGTCATTCTACGATAATTCTATTTTTAGTGACAAAAAATTTACATGTTTATTTAATCTCAGCTTTAATTAACATCATTTCTTACCGTTATCATCATGTGATAGTAATAAGTAAGAATTTGCTTAACATTAGTAATATTACTTAATATTAGTTAAACGATAAAAAATAAGTATATATTGATTACTTAATAAAATTACTTTACCATTACTTTGCCCATCCCTAAACCCCAAAAAATAAATTATACGTATTATAAGTACATTTATTTTTCGAACTAGCTACTACGTTTTAAATATATCAAGGTTGGTCAAATCGTTGGTCAATGGTTTGGTCAAACTGGTCTGGTCAAATTGGTAATTAAATAGTTTTTGCCATTATATATATAATATGTATATATACTATATATATAAATATCTTTTGACCAATTTAACCAATATTAAACCCTTTGACCAACTGATCAAATTGACCGGTCCAGCCCAACCCTGTATTTAAATATATAAAAATAATTCACCATATAAGCTCATTCTAAGTATATATTCTATATAAGAACACTTTTTATGATCCCAATGGCGTAATTATATGGGAGTGCATGCGACTGTAATTTTTAACAGAAACTTTAAATTCTATTTATAAAATTACCAATAAAGAGTTTTAATAGTTATATACTACATATATTTTTGCGAAATAACATGCAGTGTGTAAATTCTGATTTTGGTCTAAATTAAGGCCATTATTCGAAATAACGAAAATACGGTAGTTAAAATTTTAAAAGTACGTAGTAAAACTACGTAATTATATATTTAATATATTGGGTGTATGTTATAAAAAAAAATATTTAATTTATTTAGCTAAATATGTAGATCTAAAGGTTGATTTAGTATTATAACTCTTATACGTAATAATATAACAGTAAATCTTGTATTAAGTTGTAAATAAATTACTCTAAGCTTTTATTCTTGTATATAATTTATATAAAATCTCATATATGTGAAATATATGAACTATGATAACAAGAAAAAGAAATTTCTAAACATACAAAGCAAAAATTAATTTAATTAATACGTATTAGGTAAGGTTAAGGTTTAAGGTTTGGATTAGGGTATAGTTTATACTAAACTTTCATACAATTTTTTTATTAAAACTTTAAAAACAGGTTTATTAATAAATTTTAATTATAATCTGTATATACCTATGTTTATACACTAAACGTATAGTGTACAACTAGAAGTTCTCAAAAACATTAAATTATATAGTAAATATATTGAGGTTAAACTATATTAATACGTAAACCAAACCTGCAACTTGATTTACTATGATCTCATGCACTCATATATCGATATGGTGTTAAATAATCATTTTTAGAAGTGGACGAATCTAATTGTAACTTGTTAATTAAATGCTTATTCGTAACAACTTTGTAAAAATAACTAAAAAATGCATATAACCCAAACCTTAACTCTAACTACTATTGGCTAATACGAGGTTGTCATGAATACATTTATTCTTTAGAAATAGATATTTTGAACCAATACTTGCTAGTATTATCATTGCGAAGAGTTTATGAAATATCTCAAAATTTGAAATTTTGGCTACGTACTAATAAAACAATTAATGTCCTCGAGTATTAATATGTAATTTGGTAACCAAAATTTAAAATTGGGGACCAAATACTCGGATTTGGTGTACATTAAAAAATTATCGCTAACTCTGGATATAACAAACCTTTTTATACCGGACCTTTTTAAAAAAATTTTATTATAAAGTTTGGTATAGAAACATAGTAATTTACTCTATGTATAAGAAAATTTTTTTACTATAAGAACCATTAGTTCGTTATAAAGAGAGTTGACTATACTGAAATTATAGTAATTTGAAATTTATGGTAGATTTGGTTTAGATTAAATTTTTTATTTTTTCTAAAGTTTATTTATGCTATGGTAGTGTTTAGATTAAGGTTAGGATGTTATGGTACATAGCATGGTGGCCAAACCCCGATTTGGTAATGATCGGCGCAATTGAATAAAAAAAATTTTAACTTTTTATACGCTTTAAAGCGTTTTAAAGTACTTTTTATTCCCGTGATTTTTCAAAAATTGCCAATTAAATTTGACAAACGAAAGAGAGCAACTGAAAACCCTTCGAGTGGCCTATATTATATTATATTTAATCAAAAATAATCAATATTTAAGATTTTCTATTAGAGATGAAGTTTATAAGAAATGAACAGTAGATCAATTTAAGATTCAAGCAGACAGTGCATTGTGAAGATCTGCGAAGGTGTTTCTATGACAACTTGGAGAAAAATAACTGAGAATGTATTGAATAAGGCAGAAACTAATAGAACTTTAGCTTCATATTATAGAGACCATAAGGATAAGTATATGTGTTCTAATTGTTATAACATGATTGTAGTAAATAGAACAATTGTTTTTAAGGAACACATTATAGAATATAAGAGGGAATTAAAAAGGCATAGAAAGAATGATAGCCTTTCTATGTCTGAAAGTATTTCTTTATTAATTAACATTATCATTGAAAGAGAAATTATAGGAAATGTTCCATCTATTGTTTCATTTTTCAAGTTTCAATCTATTGTTAAAGGCAAGAATGAGCAATTAAGTTTTTTTTTTGATGAAATCAAAGCAATGACTTGTTTGGAAAAAAAAAATGATACTGAACGAAAAGTACTTGATCGTTTTTTAGCATATCAATGTTATTTGATGTGCTGGAATCAAAGCATGATCATTCTGCTTTGGAACTTAAAAGATGAAGTAATAAAAAATGATCACAATCTTACTTGAATAGATAACATTAGTGTTCTAACTAAGTTTCTATATGATCAAGAGAAATATGAAAAAGAATTAGCAATTTACAGTTTTAAACAGTTGCGAATAGAGATGGTGACTAAGGATTTCAGACTAAGTAGTTTCTTTAATTCAATCTATAATGCATCACTTTCTAAAAATAATAGAAGTGATAAATATTTAGAAAAATTAGATAAAAAATTAGTAATGAAATGTTATATTATTTGTAGTAATCAAAATTTTAAATTAACAATATTTAAGAAAGATATTTTACTTTTTGTAGATTTGATGAGGATTTTGATAAATGCTATAGATGTCTTATCACATGCTAGCATAATGATTTCACAAAGGCATTTTGATAGAAAGAAGACAACTATTACTAATAATCATTTGTTTAAGATTAATTCATATCTAGAAAGTAAGAAAAATAATACCTTAGTGCTTAAAATTGATGATTATCATAATATCTATACTGAATAAATCTTGGATACATATTCAATATCAAGTGCAATATATATAACAACCTTGCTGCTAAATAGTATTAAAGTGATAGCTATTTCATGAGTTATACTGAATGGTATATTAATTCATAATCCAAAACTAATAGATGCTAAAATTATATGTACTTTTTTAGATCATTACTATATAGAACAAATGGCTAAAACATTTAATGACCAGTTTTATTATGAAATATCTTTGGATAAGAAGCTTGAAAATATGACTCTTCACAAATACAATGATTATATAAAAGAATGGTGAGAAGAGTGTAAAATGAAAAACACAATGCTTCTAGACTTTTTTAAATTAAGTCTTAAGGATATGAATTCATATATCAATGCTTTACAACAAGTTTATAAAATCTCTTTGCTAACTAACTATTTAACTAATTATATTCTTCTGATCATAGCTAATTGGTCTGTACAGATTTTTTCATGATAAGCTATTACTCTTTGTTTACTATCATGAAAATGATATACCAAACAGTATATTATCATTTATTCTAATTATTGGTATTCTTTATATTCAACTAAACTTAATTGAGTCTATACTAAAGACTTATTGAAATTTTTTTAATATAGAATACCAATATATTTTTTGTACAAGTAAAGAGCTAAGTAAAACATTAAGTCCATACTAAATTTTTGTGCTTTTAGAGCTTATAAGGAGTGCATAAAAAGAAATCAAACCAATTGTAATAGGTAAGTTTAATAAATATTGTAAAGATATTAAGTTTTTATTTTTGTTCAAATTATTAGACAATATAATACCAGTCAGATTAGATATTTATTTAACTCTATTTCATTCTGAAGATTGAAAATTATACATTGAAGATGTATTTTAGGCATGGACTATTTTTTTACAGTTTGAAAAATGTAACTATAACAAAGTGCCTTTAGTATTTTTTTTAGATGTATTCTATTGAAGTCAAAATAATCATCCAATATTAAATGTATTAACAGACTATTTAGTTAAGTTTACAGATTATTTTATTAAGAATATGCACAGCAGAATATGATAACAGACCTTACCTTGTGATACTTTACAATAGCTTTCTAGAACAGCTAAGATTGTTAATAACAGAAAGATGATTTATGTATTCGAAAATAGATTCATTATTTAGCAAAAGTTTACATATGCTAATAAAAATCATTTGGCTTTATTAATGAAGAAGGCAGAAATATTTCTTCTTAAAATCTTCAGTAATGTTTATTAAAAGCTTGGTCAAAGTTCTATTGTTAAGGAACGAAATGAAAAAATTGCTTACAAGCTAGCATTGTTAAACATTATTGTGAACAAAAAGCAAATACTACTATGATTTAGCAGTGAGCATTTACCAACATATGACAAGTGCGATTATTGTTATAAGCTATTATGTGACAGGACAGATAAAGGCTCTATGGTTATTGCATGTGGTCATGAATACTATGAGAGCTGTTTTAGTATTTTATTAAGAGGAAAATGTTGTTATTATAAAAATTTTCTTAAACTAGATATATGAAATAATGTTTCTTTTCTTCTTTTATAATTAAGTAGATTAGATAAAAATAAATCGAATCTGAAGGAACTTATTAATGCCGATAAAGAAAGTCTACAAAATCAGAAAATATTGGATAAAGATAATATATTAGAGGTGCTTTAAAAGGATAAGCAAGCATTGCTGAGGGTGGAGCAAGCTTATTCTACAATTCTTGAAAATTTTTTGAATGCTAAAATTACAAATATTTAAATGTTATTTTTTAATTTAATTTAATTAAATGTTTTATTACTTAACAATAAAATAAATTTTTTTATTTTTAATAATACTAGTTAATTTTATTTATTTATTTATTTATTTATTTTGAAATTTGGGATATAATATACATGATAACAATTTTATGTAATCCTAATCCAAATTACATAACTACTAGATAATTCATACATAAAAATTTACTTATGATTGATCAATCATTCATCACTATAAAAATAACTTACAGTTTATTATAATTTATAAGTAATTGCTTAAATTATTTATATACTATTTAACTATCTTGACAAAAACTTGGTTTCATTCTTTTGAATATTATCTATTAAAAGGAATCTATTTGACTACATTGTTATTTCTATAATTTTTTTTTTTTTTTGCTTTCACTAAGGCCTTTTAGTTATAGTGGCTACTGCCTTTATTATGAATTTAATTATGATTATATAACTTGTACAAGGTTATCCCTATACTACACTAGCAGATAGCAGCACAAGTTCCTGTACATCTAATTAGATACCATCTAACCTAACCTTGACCTAACTGTCTGTAAGTCTGTCAAGCTGTTACATATTTCAGAGTACATCACCTGACTATAGGGCTCCAGAAAGCCTCTCTGCTAACTAACTACCCACATTTAATCTTTGCTAACAGGGCTCACCCTTGCAAAGTTCACTCAGACCCCAGCACTGACTTCATAGCATATTCCTAGTACTTTAGTATACCTCTGTTTCTAACCTTAGACTCCCAATCCAGATAGCCTAATAGAACTGTGACCTGTCCCTAGTACTCTAGGGTCTGCTCCCAAGGTCCTTTTCCTCTGGTTCGAGACTTTTGGTAGTCTGGTTAGTAGTACTTCTTACCTAAGATTCTTGCCTATCTGATTTCTTCTGCATTGGTATCCGTTTCCTAGGTCTAGCCTTTACAGTAGTACTGTTGAAAATTCATGTTACTTCTCTACTCAGGTCTTCCCAAGTGGGCTTCAGTTATCCCAATTCATGGATTTACATAGCCACAGATGCTTCATGACCTGCCAGTTATCTGGTGTGACTATGTTACAAGTATTGATCCCAACTGATCAATAGATAGCTGTTGCCATATTACTGGTTTCAAGGACTTATCTTGTGTTTGCACTACCCAATACCAGTTTGCATTCCTTTGTGTAACTCTAGCATTGCACAGATGTCTGTATATACCAATGTAACATAGATATTTTTCCAAATTTTCATTATCAGTAGGTTTTGAACTTCCAACCTACTACTTGGAAGGTTGATAACTTATCCACTTCACTAAGTCACCACACTCCTCATTTCTATAGTTTTAAATTGAAATTCTTTAATACAATCATCAACATTCTTGTTTTCACTTGTCCATTCTTGTATTATTTTCTGAATTACACATTTGACACTAAACTTCATAAGTGTTATATCAGATCGAATTTGCATATTTTCCATAATCATAATTTCTTGCAAAACCAATTTATTAAATACTAACATATACATGTTTGTAGTATTTTAAGCTAATCTATAAATTTTGAAACCACTATTTTTTAATTGTAAACTTATTAAAATATAAATATAAAATTATACTAATTGCACATTTGAAATAGTGAATAAATTGAAATTATGTAAATTAAATAAATACATGAAGTGAAAAGCTAAAGTATACATATAACTGATAATATAACATCTGTAACATAGATATAAAAATCTTGCATTTTAATTAGGCAGATCAGCACTAAGTTACAATTTTCAAATCTGAAAGGCTTGTGTAATTGAGATTGTTCATTATGCTATAGTACATTAACAGATACAGGATATATGTCTCTCATGTGAGATGCTTAGAAGCACTCCTTAATTTATTTTTAAGATAAAAAGTCATGTTTCTGGCCAGTTAAAATTTTGTTTAGTTTTAAAATTACACTTGAATGACCAATTTTAGTATTAGGACTTTGATTTGTTGTTTTTGAATTATTAAATTTATTATAGTGATCGAATCTTTAATACTTTTGCTATACCACTTGTATATTGCCAAATGAATATATAATTGAAATATGCTTTGAAATTAATCAAATTTATTGTTAATTTGAACAATTTGATTAGTTTAACAATACTGAACCTAATTGAACAAATTGAAATTGCATTTGATGTTACATAAATATTTTACGATTAAAGCTGTTCTTTAGTAGAAAGCTTTTCACCCTTTTAATGTTCTTAAATGTTTCTCACTTGCACAAAGCTCTGTATCCTTAATCATCTTCCGAACTAGTACAAAATTTAATTCGATAATCTGAACACATCTTTTTTATTATGAAAAAATATAAATAAGGTTAATTATTTATATATAAATACAAGAACAGTTAACTATATAATATAATTAAAAATTATGATTTATCATGTTTTTTCTGTCCTAATAGGTTTCACAATTAGATAATATTACAATAAATAAAAATTATTGTAAATGTAATATCATTTTATTCTTAAAAAAATTAAGTTCAATGTCAAAATTAATAGAAAATTTTATAGCAAAATCTTGGAAGGAATTTTTTTTTTAGTATGCAAATTGCAATTGTTTCCTTAATTTTTATATTACATCTAATCTTGTTTTCTGATTCACTAGAGTGATCATCAAACTAATAAAATTAATTCATAGTCAATTTATAATATAAGGATTTTTTTTATTAGTTTGTTGATAATTTCAGAAATTTCAAAAATTTAACTTTCGCAAATTATTTTTTTTATTTAGTGAACTATTTTTCTATTTAGTAAACAAACTATAAAACAAATTGTTGGCCTCTATTGTTTTAAATGTTATCTGTTTTTTATTATCAGGTTTGTCTAATTTTCTTCTTTTATTTTTTTTTTGAATTGCTAATTATTTGTCTAATATAGAAATTTTTTTGATATTTGAAAGGCAAAGTTTTGCTTTTTTGGTTTTAAGGTTCATGTTTGTATAACATTTAAGATTATACTTATTAAACAGTTCCTTAATCTGTTATTGGTAAATAATGATATAATAAATTCAATATTTGATGAATTCATATAGTAAAAAAAAAAAATAAATTAATAATTTATTAGAATTAGAAAACTTATTAATTCATATAAAAATAATAAATTTTCAATTATCTGTAACAACCCAAAAATTGTTAGAATTTGATTATTCAATGTCAGATTTTAAAAGAATTATAAAACATAACTCTTTAAAACTAGGAATTTGCTTTTATTATTTTTTTAATTTTATA